CCGTTATCAACTTTGTAGGTACTCCATGTTGTGCGACAATTGTTTTGTAAAGTAGGTCGTTGCAAATTCGCTGCCGCCATCTACCGCCTTCTCCTTAGGGTAATCTGCCCCGCTCTCAGCACCTGCCGCTTTACAGAATTCTATAAGACGAGGCCACCACCCGCTCTCCCCTTACAGCCTGACATTTTCACATTCCCCCATTGTCCTCACCCCCTTTTCCCTTCGACCTGCGCCCCCTTACCCAGCTGCAGCAGTATCCGCTGGCCCATGTCCCTGTCGACTGAGGCCGCAATGCGGATCCCCCTTTCTGCGTTCCCGTTGTGATAGTGCGATTGACGAGCCCGTCCTGACTTACGCTTCGATTCTTCGATACTTCGACATCGTTTTCACCCAATTTTTTTTTCCGCTGTCGACACCTCGCCGAACCTGACGAAAATAATATACAAGAGCTGCCCGAGTATTTGCCTCGCATCGCTGCCGGGACTGGCCATCGCGAGGAATACGACGAAGGATGCATCGACGCGTCAGCTCATTGAAGGGCTGAAACATGATGACGGGTTCAGCTCTACACCGCCACCCCTCGGACACTTTCCGAATGACACGTGTCCAAGCTGACCTCGGCTGACTCTCACGGCCACAATGCACGCTCGTCAATGGTCGGCAGGACGTGGGATAGCAAAGGCCGTGGATTGGCTTCATGTTCGGGAAGCTTGGCTGCAATGGATACGGCCTGCATTAGCTGCATAAGCCGGCAAAAGAGCCACCGATGAAGGTCCGCTGATCTGCGACCGCGTGGGGAGCGCCTGACCATAGCTCGGCGTCGTGATTTGCCATCGCATCGACGCTGCATCAAGTGTGGGCGGCTAATGCAGCCGGTACACTCAGCTCAGCCAAATCGTACGATATTTACCTTTCAGATGCAAGGCTTCCGGCACCTTAGCTCGGGCTTCGCGACGGACGACGAGCTATGCCGAGACGTGATTGGCAGGGCTTGGCCCTTTTTGCGGTGGTTTCGGGATACTCTTTCTCAATTTGCGAGGCACCCGGGCGGTTTCTGAAGTGAAAAAAAATGAACGGTTTCTGCGCAGTTGGCTGGCCGGTGCAACAGCAGGCTGCTTGCTGCTCACATTAGCTACGACACCGCGAGATGGCGCGTGCTGAAGCAGTGGCTGGTCCAGACGTCATGGCTCGGTCCGTGGCCGTTTGAGCCGCAAAACGTGAAGCTAAAAAGAGGCCAGTTCCCCCCCCCCCCCCCCCCAG